CACTCACTCAAACACCCAACCACCCTCCCTCCCTCTCCCTCCCTCTCACTCACTCATTTTAAGAAGTAGGCGTTTGTATAAGTAAAAAAATTAAACAGATTTTGTAAGCATGTATTTATGTTGATATACCAATGTCGTCTGGGTTTTTTAGCTGAAAGTAGTGTAATTTGGCATGAACAATGTTTACTGTTAACATTTGAAAACTATACACAGTGTTTAGGAAAGAAGATATACCTCCACTGGCGATTTATTATTTTGAAAGAAAAAGTGCAGGGTTTGGTCATATTTTGTTTTTCAGTTCCATGACTTGAAAACAGGCAGATCTGGTACTCTGGTAAACATATTATCTGTAGATTTCATATGCTCCTAGCTTATCAGTATTGATATTTTTCAATTTCCTCCTTCATAAATATTGAAAGCATGTGGGTTACGCCCCAAATCTTACACTCTATTATAAATAGGTCAAGTGATCTCGAGATTTATTGATTTGTAACACTACAAATATTTGAAGACATTAACTGTGTGTCCACATCCAGTTTTACAAGCTGAAAAATACAACCTGGAATCAATAAAGATCCAATGGTCTTTTTATGTCCTTAATTCTTTGCCAGAGTTAATTATTGAGATGTGTGTGATGAACAATAGAATTAAATAAATACCATAATGTTTCTGTCTCTTTTTAAGGGACACAACTTTAAAAAAGGTGAGCTTCGGAGAAAGCTTTTAGACATTTGCTCCATAAAGCACACTTTCCCACAGAGGAGAGCATGGAAGCACATCCCACATTCCTCCCCTGAATACAGATAGGAGGATTTCGTCTGTCATGTTCATTCAGGTTTGATAGAGACATGACCGGTTCCATCACAAATCTGTATAATGAAGGTGCTCCTTGGCATTCCATGTGTTCCTGACATTCCAGGCCATTCTACTCATCCGTTGCATCATGGCAGGGAGAACAAACATAACATGTTTAGTGAGAAATAGACCAGAGATTGTTTGTCAACTCTTGTATGCTGAGTTATGCGTCGAATGGTTAGGAATGAGAAACTGACTGTGTCACGGGAAGAAGTATGTCATCAATTTGACATACACTGTACGATATTTTTGGCAGCATATTCCCTGCTTATTAGTTGGTTTTAAAATATAATCCAGATCAAGAACAGTAAAAAAAATGAAATAATAAACGAGCTGGAGACTTTTGAGTTATGGAACCATTATTAACGATTGATTAATCTAAACCGATTTTTCAGAGTTCATCTACTTTTTGCATGGTATCTGGGCTAAGAAACTGTTTTAGGAAACCATCCAATGATACACAATGCCTTTTTCAGTTTCAGAAAATATAAATGTTGGATATTGTTAGTTGGACTTGCCCAGCTGTGAACTCTAGACAATGTTTTGAGATAGTTCACATTAATAGTGCAAGTCAAGATATCAAATGGGCAATTCAGTGGGTTGGACCATCTCTCAATCAGTCTGACTTGGTGACCAGGCAACCTTGGCTCCTATACTTTAATATAGACTGAAATAGTCTCCGCACAACACAGTCCTGGCTGACTGTCATCTTATGGTGACTGCTCGGATTTGTGGTCATGTCAGAAGCTGTGGCAGCTTGGATTTGTGGTCATGTCAGAAGCTGTGGATTATCAGGGGATGATGAATAATTTTCAGGCTGATGTTTTGCGTAGCTTTCATTTTGCTGAAAAACTGTCAGTGGAATGCAAAATAGTAGCGCTAAATTGAATTAGTCTCAAGGTTTAGATCAGTGCCATTCAGTCATGATGCATAACATACATCTTGAGGACAATTTAATTCTGATAAAACAATATAAAAGTTCTCTGAGGGTAGGACCTGTGAAGATCCGGGTTAGAATTGATCTTCAGTAAACCATGCTTGTCGTAAGAGGCAACTAATGGCCAGGCTCACTGACTTGGTTGACAAAACGACATCCTATCCCAATTGCATAGATTGATGCTCATGCTGTTGATCACTGGATTGTCTGGTCCAGACTTGAATATTTGCGGACTCCCACCATACAGCTTGAATATTGCTGAGTAACACTCACTCAACTCACTCACTCACTCACTCACTCACTCACTCACTCACTCACTCACTCACTGAGGGCAGGCATATGGCTAAACATCACTCAGAAGGTCAGGCAGAGTTTGATTCTGACATTCAGGTTATACAACATTTCCCCTGCAGTGTAATTGTTTGAAAACATATTGCATTAGTAAAACTAAATCGTTATTTTCAAATTATTGTTTCTCTCCTGTGCATCTGTAATTCATCATGTGACGAAACCAGGGCATCTTTAGTCTAAGCAAAAGGAGGCCTATTTACTGCACATATCTGCTGTACAGTTCCTCACTGTAATCAACACTCCTGATTGCAGTATAATATAATAATACCTCATTGTATTACTGGTTGATTTTTAGTTTTAAGTGCATTAAATGCTTGTGGATAGAAGATAGTAAGGACTTTAAAAACTTCCCAATATCAGATTAATAGCTCTTTTGTCAAGTTTTGTAAAAAATGACAAATATATCCTCGAAGACTGATTGCCTACCTTCTTATTTCTTTGTAGACAAATGCTGATGGATTTGGTATATTATACTCAATCTTATTTCAATACAGGTCAAGTTTAATAGCCAGTCCAATCAGTCAGAGGGAAAATAGTATAAAGAAGCTTGCTCTCTGCAATAAATGGACTGGTTTCTGTTTCGGAATATACTAGTAATCTGTGACTGATGTGACCAACAAGTCTAGTTTATGGGAGCTCTCTGTGAACAGATAAGTGTTAACCTACAGGATGAAAGTTTTATTGGTGAACAGAAGCATGTCATTGGTCACATGACCTTAGGTTAGATTGGAGAACGACTTGGTCTTAGATGAGATAACAAAATAGAAGAATTTTTAGGAGGGTTATAATGATATTTTGAGTTCTTTAATTTCATGCATGGTTTGATCAGTTGATAAGTTTCAAGGATGATTGACAAATGAACAAATGATTGATGGATGGTTTGTCACTGTGGTTATAGCCTCTTTCAATGAAATGGTTTTGTTTGCAGTTTATAATCTGATGTAGATTGAGATGTGAAAGACATTTCTGACCTAAATGTGTGGTGACAAGTCTCTCAATCAGTTGAGTAGGACAATGTAACCTTCTTTGACTAAGTGTTAGAAAAAACAAATGGATTTGGTCTGTGTTGAGTTGTGGAGATGTCTGCTTCTCACTTTCCATGCTCCGGCTACATCCTTTACATCCACTACCCCAACTTCATCCACTATGTCCACAACACACTTTACATCCACAACACACTTTACATCCACAACACACTTTACATCCATGACACCCTTTACATCCACAACACACTTTACATCCATGACGCTCTTTACATCCATAACACTCTTTACATCCACAACACCCTTTACATCCACAACACACTTTACATCCACAACACACTTTACATCCACAGCACCCTTTACATCCACAGCACCCTTTACATCCACGACACACTTTACATCCACGACACACTTTACATCCATGACACCCTTTACATCCACAACACCCTTTACATCCACAACACACTTTACATCCACAACACACTTTACATCCACAACACCCTTTACATCCACAACACACTTTACATCCACAACACCCTTTACATCCACAACACACTTTACATCCACAGCACCCTTTACATCCACAACACACTTTACATCCACAACACACTTTACATCCACAAAACACTTTACATCCACAACACACTTTACATCCATGACGCTCTTTACATCCATGACACTCTTTTCATCCACAACACCCTTTACATCCACAACAGCCTTTACATCCACAACACCCTTTACATCCACAACACACTTTACATCCACAGCACCCTTTACATCCACAACACACTTTACATCCACAACACACTTTACATCCACAACACACTTTACATCCACGACACACTTTACATCCACGACACACTTTACATCCACAACACTCTTTACATCCACAACACCCTTTACATCCACAACACCCTTTACATCCACAACACCCTTTCCATCCACAACACCCTTTACATCCACAGCACACTTTACATCCACAACACCCTTTACATCCACAACACACTTTACATCCACAACACACTTTACATCCGCAGCACCCTTTACATCCACAACACACTTTACATCCACAACACCCTTTACATCCACAACACACTTTACATCCACAGCACCCTTTACATCCACAACACACTTTACATCCACAAAACATCCACAACACACTTTACATCCATGACGCTCTTTACATCCATGACACTCTTTTCATCCACAACACCCTTTACATCCACAACACCCTTTACATCCACAACACCCTTTACATCCACAACACACTTTACATCCACAGCACCCTTTACATCCACAACACCCTTTACATCCACACACTTTACATCCACGACACACTTTACATCCACGACACACTTTACATCCACGACACTCTTTACATCCACAACACCCTTTACATCCACAACACCCTTTCCATCCACAACACCCTTTGCATCCACAGCACACTTTACATCCACAACACCCTTTACATCCACAACACCCTTTACATCCACAACACCCTTTACATCCACATCACCCTTTACATCCACATCACCCTCTACAATCACTACACCCTTTACATCCACAACACCCTTTACATCCACAACACACTTTACATCCACAACACCCTTTGCATCCACAACACACTTTACATCCACAACACCCTCTACAATCACTACACCAACTACACCAACATCATCTGCTACATCCACTGCTTTTGGTCCTTTCACTAAAGTCACTACATCCACAACACCCTTTACATCCACAACACACTTTACATCCTCTTCATCCACTCAATGCACTACACCCACTACATCTACTACATCTACTACACCCACTACAGTCCCTGCATTCACTACTTACACAGCATTCACTACCTGCACAGCATTCACTACATGCACAGCATTCACTACCTAAACAGCATTCACTACCTACACAGCATTCACTACCTACACAGCAGTCACTACCTGCAAAGCATTCACTACTTACACAGCATTCACTACTGGCAGAGCATTCACTACCTGCACAACATTCACTACCTACACAGCATTCACTACCTACACAGCATTCACTATCTACACAGCATTCACTGCCTCTGCAGCATTCACTTCCTACACAGCATTCACTACCTACACAGCATTCACTACCTGCACAACATTCACTACCTGCACAGCATTCACTACCTGCACAGCATTCACTACCTGCACAGCATTCACTACATACACAGCATTCACTACCTGCACAGCATTCACTTCCTACACAGCATTCACTACCTAAACAGCATTCACTACCTACACAGCATTCACTACCTACACAGCAGTCACTACCTGCACAGCATTCGCTACTTACACAGCATTCACTACTGGCAGAGCATTCACTACCTGCACAACATTCACTACCTGCACAGCATTCACTACCTGCACAGCATTCACTACCTACACAGCATTCACTATCTACACAGCATTCACTGCCTACACAGCATTCACTGCCTATGCAGCATTCACTTCCTACACAGCATTCACTACCATACACAGCATTCACTACCTGCACAGCATTCACTACATACACAGCATCAGCATTCACTGCCTACCGAGCATTCACTGCCTATGCAGTATCACTACCTACACAGCGTTCACTACCTACACAGCATTCACTACCTGCATAGCATTCACTACCTGCACAACATTCACTACCTACACAGCATTCACTACCTACACAGCATCAGCATTCACTGCCTACCCAACATTCACTACCTGCACAGCATTCACTACTTACACAGCATCAGCATTCACTGCCTACCCAGCATTCACTACCTGCACAGCATTCACTACCTGCATAGCATTCACTACCTGCACAACATTCACTACCGCACAACATTCACTACCTGCACAGCATCAGCATTCACTGCCTACCCAGCATTCACTGCCTATGCAGCAATCACTACCTACACAGCATTCGATGCCTCAATACCATCATTGCAAATTCAACATGCATTAGATTTTAAATATCACTTTACCATTTAGTACATTAACAAACTATAACTTGAGCCCAAATAACCCTTAAGGATTAATTGTCGTTTAATGACCCGTGTCATGGTCCAAGTCAATGATTCAGTGAGTTTTCCTCTTTGAAGATGTATAAAAACATCCAGACACATTATGCTGGAGGTCGCCTTTTGGGGAGCAATGAATTCCCCATAAAATTTAGATTATAACTCTGATGAAACCGGCAATACCCATAGTCTAGACCTGTGGTTTGGTGGGCTAATACCCTTGGTGATTATAATCTATACACACATCAAACAAATAACCTCATGAACTACCGTTTCAAGGAAATGCTGGGTCAAAGTTTAATAATGTCTTACATTATTCCTGTTAACCAGATTGTTCAAGAGGTTATCATATTTAACATGCAATTTATGAAATAGAATTCATCTAAACTGAAGAGTGTTGAAGTGATTTTGTCATGCTCTAAGTTGTGTGTCTCAATCTAATGTGGCTAAGTACAGTTTGAAATCATCTTCACAAAAAACTTGGATTATATTGATAAAAATGCTTGGTTGTAGTCAAATGAAGCTTGAAAAGTATTGCATAGGCATTGAATGTAAAGAAGTCCAAAACTTTCTTTCAGGGTTAATGCTGTTTGATAAATTGACTGTCAAGCAAACTCTTCGAAAGAAGTATGTCGAAAACAGATTCACCATAAACTTTATTCGAAAAAGTTTGAAAAAAATCAATATGGTTGCATGTTGCTGGTTGAAATTTTGTAAAATAACTGGCAATGCTTTATTGTGACTTATGAAAGGACCTTTAGGTGTATTGTATGAAATGGTGCCAATTCTAGTAGAGAATTGTCTGGCGTGTCAGTCACTATTCAAGATGGAGAAAAGATAAGTCACACACAGACTTTTTCAGACATTGAATTGTTAGCTTGTTGTGGTGCAAGTGAATGTTCTGACAAATATGTTTGCTCTGTTAGTAAAACACAAGTACTGTGCTGCATTGGAAACCATCTCGTACAAAAAGGAAGGTATGTACGTTAAGTGTTACTGTTCCAAGATGGTACAATAGAAGTGTTTGAAGAAAGGATGGAATAGACGTCTGAGATAGACTTTGGAATTGTTGTATTGAGTTTTGAGAGCTTCTCCTTAGACTTGTTTAAAGTTTTGAGGTTATGGAATTCTTGGGGGTGTGGAGAAAGGTTGTCAGAGTTTAAAGCATTCTTCTTCGATTTGTTGACCATGCAGTGTTAAGTGTTGCACCTTGAAGTTTTATAGGCAACATGGAGCTGAAAACAGCCTGAATTTAACCATTTCGTCTGAAAAATGCTTCATTCAGACGTTTTCACATTAAAATGATGGCAATGTATTCACTATTGAAGTTCTGGATTAAAGAAAACAAATCTAGCTACAATAAAATCACCACAGAAATATATTAACAATCATGTTTTTAATGCATTGTTCACTTCCTATCCACTTCACTTCTCTGACAGCAGAAAAAAAGGAAAAAAGTGAATTATCCTTATCATGAGTGACCCATTTATGTGAAAAACTTGAAGACATCGAAAAGTGTAAGTCTGTGTGGTATCAGACCCGTGAAGAATTGGTCTTCAGCAACCCATGCTTGTCGTAAGAGGCGAATAACGGGATCGGTGGTCAGACTCGCTGACTTGGTTGATACATGTCATTGTATCCCAATTGCGTAGGTTGATGCTCGTGATATTGATCATTGGATTGTCTGGTCTAAACTCGATTATTTACAAACCCTTGCCATATAGCGGGAATATTGAGGAATGTTGAATAAAAACAAACAAAATTCTGATGTATAGAGGTACACCACTTGATGTTCATTATGAATGAAAGTTGACTTTGAAAAAGAATATTTTTCCTTGGAAAGTACTTAAATATAAGTTCAGATCTGTATGAACCCTGTTGGTGTTGATTTGGGCTTGGTTCTGTGTAAGCCTTCAAGTAAAGTAGACCTTCATTGACCATGGCTCTTTTTGTAGCTCTTAGCTATGTAGAGCTTAGCATTTATACCTTGTATTGTGTAGAACATGGTGTGCTTGATTTATATTTTCTTGGAGCTGCTGAAGGGGAAAACGTTTCATCCATTCAATTTTCAATGATGTATAAATAAGGAAAGGTAATTTTGCTTGAATCCATGTAACATTTTGCTTATCTGTGACATGACATATTAGGCAGGTGGATTTCTTTCAAATGAGGGGTGGTGGGGTAGCCTAGTGGTTTAAGCGTTCACTCGTCACACCAAAGACCCAGGTTCGATTGAGCACATGGGTACAATATGTGAAACCCCTTTCTGGTGCCCCTCACCATGATACTGCTGGACTATTGCTAAACGTGGCTTAAAACTAATCTCACCCACTCACTCTTTCACATGAAGTCAAAGACATAAATGATGCTGCCATGTTAGTGGTGTGCTATGTTGACAGTGCAAGAACAGGAATCAATATAGATGGGTAATTCTCAATACTTTATAGATTTACTTTTTCAATTTGGCACAGAGTGCCACTGGTTACAGTCTATGACCAAGCTGAAATTACAGTTTTAATTATAATGGGCAGGACAGATATGAACTTAAATCGGTTTTAGACATGCTTTCAAATCATCCCCAGAGAGTTCCTGAGCAGGATGGTGATTATAAGAGCTAACAGAGCTATTGTTATCTCATGTCCACAGTGGCTGGTGCTGAATCTTTGACTTCACGTTTGACCTGGCTTTACTCCAATACCCACAAATCACTATCAGGCAGATTCTGGAAAAGTACAGGCCAGAGTCCATACCGATGTATGGTCTCTGTACAGGGTAATGATCCTCAAAGCGTTCGTAACTCTATATGAAGTTAATGATCAACTTCTCGTTTGACATGAGTTTACTTCTGTACCCTTAAGTGTGGAGCCACAAATCAGAATCAGGCAGATTCTGGAGAAGTACAGGGTCCTGATCTACAAAGCGTTTGTATCATTACTGCCTATCACAGCTCTATATTATATCATAGGCTTGCAAATGACTAGTGGGTCAACTTCATGTTTGACTTGATTTTACTCCTATACCCTAAAGTGTGGATCTACAAATCAGAATCAGGCAGATTCTGGAGAAGTACAGGGTCCTGATCCACAGAGTGGTTGTATCATTACGACTTTTCATAACATATGTCATATTTGGGATTACAGTTTCTTAGTAAAGTACAGCTTCCACCGCGGTGGCTGAGCGGTTTAGGCATCTGACTTTGTGTGCTGGCGATTAGGTGCCTGACTCTGAGGGTGTGGGTTCGAATCCCAGATGAGACTCAACCAAACAAAAGTACTAGAATCTGTACTTTACTAAGAAAGTGTAATCCCAAATATGACCTATGTTACATTTGACCACTTTCTAAATGGCATTGTGTATTTCATGACTTTTCGTAACTCTGTACTACATCTTTCGCTTACTAATGACATAGTGCTATGAATGCTTTGTGGATAGGGTCTGATTTTGTGACTAAACCCTTCTAATGAGGATTACATGATAACTATGAGACTTGTTAAAATAATGTAATGTTGCCATGACAATGTAGATTATTCTCATGCTGTTAACCATCAGTTTGCCTATCCCCAACACCTTTCATTCAGACACATCAGTATCATGCTGTATGTGGCATAAACAACATGTATTCACTGTAGTAAGAATCAATGTGTACTCCCTCAATCAGTTAGCATGGGCACTGAAGTCTGTCAGCTTGATGGTTAAGGAATCAGCTACAGATGAATACCAGGAGATTTCAAAGATAAGAATGAGATTATGATCTCAGCTAGGGATAGAATAAATATAGAATATACATCACTTCTAAGCTATTTCTGTAACTAAATAGGAACAAAGCCTGTTGTTACTTCCAAACAAAGCCAATTAGTAATTTTAAGAGCATATATGTTTGTTACAAGATCTGTTGGTTGGTTGGTAGAATCTGACAGTCTTTGAGAAGCATTTCAGTCATTTAATACATGTTTCAAAAGCAGAGACCGTGTAGTACTAATCCTGTATTATACTGAAACAAGGGTAATTACGGTGATCAGACATGTTCAGTTGGAGACAGATGAATTCCGTGTAATCATCAGAATTCGAGCATGTGGAAGTATATAATCAGACCTGGATATTCTTGTTGGTCTATCAAATCCCCTCCAGAGATGCATATCTGTCTGAAATGTCTTCCTAACAACCAGACTCCAATGTTGTAGAGAGAGGGTTAGATTCACCGAGAAACTGCAGAGGTTGTGATTGGCCTTTTGAAGTTGGCGACCCAATGGAAGCGTCACTTTTAGGTGCTGACATTTGGTCAAAAGAAGAGGATAATGATTCTATCGGTGGCGCAATAACTCAGTAATTGAACTGTCACTCCTTTGAACTCACTTTTTCTTACTAAGTAGAGATGGAGTTGTAGGTTAGCGAGGAGTTATTGGACAACAATGGATTAAGCAGACATATTGGCATACTTTCCTCAACCCAGCCTGATGGAGCAGAATAGGTTCAAATGACCTTCAAAAGGGCTGGCCGGCCACATCAGAAATTGTTCTTGATGGCAATTTAGACAAAACAGTTGAAAAGCTGAATTTGGTCAATTTCTTTGGCAAAGTGATTATTGCAACAAACAAGGACCTACTTTTATGAAAATTGGATAAGTGGTAGGCACTCATGGCAGAACATGCTTACCCTTTTCGAAAACTATTGTCATAAAAAATTACTATTCACGTAATTCAGGAAATCTGACGTTTGACACTGATGATCATCAGGAACTGGGTGATGAGGTTGAAGATGGTCATATGAACGAACCTCTCTTGGTAGGTGTATCAGTGACTTCAAATTGTATGGATTTGAATAAAGTTGTTTGATGCAAGTTGAAGCCCACATCTATGATACTTATGCAATAAGTTTTACTTGCTTCATAACAAATGTGAGCTTAGGCCAGAAATCTAGGCAAAGACCGATCTTGTGTCAGTGGAGTAGATGTGTAATGCTATGATGCTGATG